GAGTTAAATGTGTAACGCATAGAATGGGAAGAAGAAAAATATTTTTATTTTTTTACGACTTCCTTTCAAAACTCTAGAGCGGTTAAAATTAGGGATTTCATCGCGGATATACACGATAGAGATTTGAGATGATTTCTCGCTTTTGCTGTTTACATTTGACATCCAAACAATTAGTTGAATTGGGCCCATTATAGGGACTAAGCCCATTTCTCATAGTATTGGGATGGATACACGCTGTAGGCGATATTTTTATCTATGTTTACTTTTGTCATTTAAACAATCATGTGACTAGAGGGATTGAGCCCATTTGATGAAATGAAGACATTATCTCTCTAATAACCCATGAGGACACCATTCTAGCTCAAATCATCTTTGTTTAAATTTTCTATTATCTCTATGTCTCTAATAACCCATAGGATGTTTTTCTCTTCAAATCATATGAGACGATATTTTTTCTATTTTTGATAAAATGGTTTGCACACGACATAGAAATATTTTAAACGAGCAACAAAGTGATAACGGTTTGCCCACGACATAAAGAAGGTTTAAAAGAGCAACAAAGTGAAGAAATTCCTTGTTATTAAACGAAAGTTCAGGATTATTGTTATTAGCTTGCCATTTGAAGCTGTGTCGTTAACTTGGCATTCCGTATTGTTGCCATTAACTTGACATGTACTGTCATTTAAATCCGTGTCATTAACCTGCTACTTCGTATCATTGCCATTAGCTTCCCAATTCTGAAAGGCAGCGCTGATATTTTGAAATAATGGGACTAGTTACACAAATTTTCTTTTGTTTGATTCTGATTCCACAATATCCCTTTAAAGTAAAGCATAATAAACAATTCTTTCTATAAACATTGGCATAAGCTATAGCTAATGTCACATTATTCAAAAAATGATACTCCAGGCTTTTTAATAGAACTTTCATGAAAGGGTATTGGCACCTTGATCTCATATATATATATATATATATATTATGTTATAGTTTCATTTTACAATATTTGTATGTACTTATTTATTTTCTTTTGTAATTAACAAGAACTAAATTATAGGATCAAAATCATGGGAATTGGTGACTGAGTTTAGGAAAGATAATTCAATACTAGGATATTGGCCAGCAGAGCTTTTCCAATCTAGTTTACGTAGATGAAGTACATTGGGATGTTGAAAGAGTAGTTTCACAGAGCTTTGATAGACACACAAAAAAACAAATGGGTTCGGGTCACGTCCATTTCCAAGGTTTCAGAAAATTTAGCTATTTCTTGAGTTTAGAGATTGTGGATAGCAACAACTTCCAGCTGATCTAGAAATTACAGATAAATGCCGACAAAAATATATTATGATGTCAAGAATTTGGACATAGAAGAAGAATGGGGAACTATGTTTATTAGTATATACCTCAGAAATTTACAGTATAAAGCATTTCTACAGACTTTTCTTTCACAAATATTACTTTTCTGTATTAGACCACTTTTTGCATTTTTTTCACAGTGCAATGCTTGTGATTATAAATTATTGCATACGTTGTGAATAAAAAATGCAAATTCTCTAACTAAAATATAAATAAATATCCTTGACAAAATAAATAATCTCTTATATAATAAAGCACAAGTCACTCAACAAATCAAAATTTGACATGTGGAAAATATTTACAATTTGAGAGAAATTAATTAAAACAAATAATAATTTAGAAAGGTAAAAAACAATTGTATAACGAACCGTTTCTTGTGTTGTTAAAAAAAAGGTTTACTTGAAATCAACTACATTACCCATGATCATTCCCCTTTATCCACGATCCTTTACCTTTTACTAGTCATATATAGTCATTCAAGAGAAGAAAAGAGATCAAAACTTATTACTCTGTTCATAAGACACATAAATTTTTGAATTTTTCTTTTCCATGGAACATTTCATATCACTGAGTTGTGGGTTATAGTTTGGATATTGAGAGTGATTTCCCAGACCCGTGATGTAAAGCACCATTGTTGACTTCTCTAAGGCAGCGGCCGTGGCTGCAGAAATACGGATCTCGGCGGTGGTTCTCCCATGGCGATTCCTGGTCCTTCCATCATCACAAGCTTGGCACTGATATCTTTTAGGATCCATGGTTTAACAAGGTTCTCCCATTATATTTTCTTCTGATCTATTTCATTTAACTCATAATGATCAAGGTTTAAACCTTTGGGAAGTGAGTTCTATGAAATTTTGTATTCTGAATAAAATTAGCGAAGAGACTGATTATACTCTCCTTGATGTTTTTTGATTAAATAACGTTTTTTATTTCTCATTTTGTTGTCTCTGTTAGGAGACTGATTTTTCTCTCATTTTCACATAACACACATTTTTTGTAACTGAGAGATTTGGGCTACAAAACTTCCTTCCTCCTTGTGTTATCTCCTTTACAGCTAAAGCTTGGATTTCTATAGTAGTAAAATAATATATATATATATATATATATATGTGCATATTCTTCTGAAAACTCAAAGTTAAATAATACAGATTTTTAGTTATATAGTTAAAAGAGAAATTTGCAGTGATACCAAAGAACTTTAGCATAATTTGCAATATACCAAAAGACAAAAAACCTATAACTGTTCATGATATCTTTTTACCCTATTATCCCTTAAACACTAACCTCTTCCTGACCATAAACTGAAGATATACACCAAATCTTTTTAAGATATGCAAAATCTAATCCCTACTACAATCTATAACCTGAGTTTTTTTGTCGATGGTTGTGTATTAGTGCAAACAAAACAAACCGAGTTTTTTGTCAGATTAGGGTTTCACCCTTCGGAAAACTGATCGACATTGCCGACAAACAGAGTTTCTCTGGGAAATTTGGAAGATATATCATATCCAATTAGATTGATCTTTGAGGTACTTTTGGCAACTCTCTATCTTTGGATTTAATTGGAAGTGTGGATTTTCTTCAGGTGCTTTGTTTCACATGTGTCTTCAATTGATGGTGCAGAAGCGGACGATACGTTTGGTAGCCTCCAGATTGTTAATTTTCCATCGCCCTCATCATATTTGCATTTGCAACTAAACCCAGTTCGGAAGTTATTCTTGATCAAAACCGTGTAATTACAATAGTGTCTTGTCACCTATATCAATAACCGGCTAAAACAAAATTTCAAACATTACCCATTGATATCGGGGAAAGGAGAGAATCCAATTGGCCGTCTAATTACAATAATTGCTGGTCACCTATATCAGTAACCAGCTAAAACAAAATTTCAAACAATAACCAACGATATCAGGTGAAGGAGAGAACACAATTGGCCGTCTAATTAGAATAGTGGCTGGTCACTTATATCAATAACCGGCTAAAAACAAATTTTAAACATTAACCATCAATATCGGGTGAAGGGAAGAACCCAATTAGCCGTCTAATTACAATAGTGGCTGGTCACCTAAATCAGTAACCGGCTAAATTAAAATTATTGACAATTTTGTGAAGGTTAACAATGATTGTTAGCCGGTTCCGAAGATATATAACCGTACAACGAATTTTTTTATGGGGCTATCTAGTTTACATTTTCGTTCTGGTCTATTTATTACCATAAGGGTTCTGGGGATCATGCTATCTTTAGGCTATGGAATTGTCCATAGACGTTATATAATTAGTGTTTGGGTTCTGGGTTTCCAATGGGGTGTAGGGTTTAGAATATTGTAGTGATGGATAATTGGATGTGATTATGTAAATATAGAATTAGGATATAACATATATTTTTTTAGATTTCTGGAGAAAAAATATGTAACGAAGATGAAGAAATAAAAAGATGACAATGAGAGAGAAAAATCTAAAGGAAATCTCATTTGTAAAGTGAACAAAATCTTTTTTGATATTTTTGTCATTTTGCAAATATCACAACTCTTAGTAGTGTAAACGCAATCTAGGTGTTATCTTGCCAAATCCCCCAAAGATATCACTCCTGTAGTGTGTCAGACCGATTAATGCTACAAAAAATTCGGGAAAAGAAGAAGTAATCCGGGCAGGGGTAATTTCGTCATTTGCACACCACTATTTCCTTGCGTGAGTTACACTTTCTTCCATTTGGGTATTCTCCTAATATATGGATCTTTCTTGGTTTTTCACCAAATTACCTCTAGTTAAAATTTGGTATTATTTGTAAGAAAAAGTATCCCCATGTATAGCATGGGTGTAATACTAGTACTAGATCTCGACCCGCACAACCGTGCGGGTATTTGAATACTAAAATATTTAAATTATATGATAAATATATCAATAAATATAATTTGATGTTATATACTATTTAAATGTATAATAATGTTTATGCAGCTTATAATATTATTAATATAAAACTTATAAAATTTGTATTTTTTTAATAATTTTTTAAAACATTATTATGTAACATCACAAATTTATATATTTTGTTTTATTTCTAAATTTGAAATATATGTCAAAAATAAATTAAGTTGGACCTACATAATACATAAACAAATTTTGGGATAGTATTAAAAGTATTTTACATAATTTTAGTTTCTATTTATAAATCAAAAATGAATTAAAAATTTAATTGTATTTTATGAGAATATTTTTCGAAAATATATCCTAAAAATATTCTAAAAGATTGTGTTAGATTTTCCTATAAATAATATTTATTTTTATTTCAAATAAAAATTAAACATATGAAAATATATTATAATGATGTTATGTAAGATTTTATAAATTTTCAAAGATGGTCCAAACTACAAAATTACACATGAAATGAGTCATGACTTTTATTTTAATATAATAGATAATCAAATATGTCATATTAATGAAATGGTCCAAAATGACTTTCGTGTAGTAGATTTAAATGGTACTTCTTTTTTAATATAGAAGATATATATATGTCCACGTCCTCAAATTTATTCAGGCCAATAAAGAGATGACATGTCAGCTTTAGTTCCACGTAAACAAATAGACAAATAGAAGACATTTTTTGACATCTAAATCTTCTACTTCGGCTTCTTGGACGTTATTTACTGGAGAAGAGGAAAGAGCATAAAAAGGATCGTGAGTCTGACCACAAGTCTTCTCCCTATCTTTGCCGGTTTCTCTCCAACGCAGTCTGGTCTTTTGTCTCGTTCCTTCGATCTAGGGTTCCCTTCAAAATCTTCTTATCTTTTCTCTCAATCTTTTGACAGTGGAAAAGTGTTTCTCTGGATTTGGTTTCCTTCAATTTCTCGAATCTTCTTTCTCCGATTCCACCGTACGTCTACGTAAACTGATTTTCTTGATCCCGGTTTAGCTATTGATTCGAGATCTTTTAATCTATTGCGTTGTATGTGTGTAGTGTGATTTGGTTAAGATGACAATCTCTGATTCCGAATCAATGGGTTGTGACTTTTTGTGCACTCTCGAGGAAGAGAGACGTATTGTGACGGAGCTGATGAGCGAAGCGGAGCTAAATGTTTTCATAGCCGGGTTAATTCCCTATAATCCTTCCTTCTTAACAACAGAGATGCTCTGACACAATCTTAACCACGCTAATCTTTGATTTTGATGGATTTTGCAATCTCAGAATTTTAAAAGCTTATTTGCACATTGTTATAAGCAATCACTGATTTATTCTTTGGTAACACCAAATTAAAGCTCGCAAGTGTAACAACGTGAAGGATGTTGTGTATGGGTCGTGGGCATTACAAGGTTATGTATGATGTCTTAATATTCTTATACTTTTACAACTGGTGTTTTTCTCATCACCCAAAAGCTAATTGTAATCTCCATGGCAATGGAATGGAATCTCCAGCTGTTTCTTTTATTTGTTAATCAATAATGCAGGTCTCTGCAAATTTCTTACATCTTTGTATTTTGTCTCTACTACTTAGCAACTCGAGAGTTACTAATATTTGTATTTTGCTAAGATTATGCCAAAAAAAAAAAAAAAATCATATCTTGCTAAGATTGAACATGTTTGTGTCAAGAAACTCTGCTGAGCAACAATGTCTCTGCTGTTAGATATTTTGTGACAACTTTGCAGGTTTCAGACCCAAGATTCCTTTTACAACATTTCAAAGGTTTCAGACAGCTTCCCTTCTCTCTCTGGTAAGTTGAGTTACAACCACTGTTATATTTTGTTGAACACCTGAGCTTGGGACACTTGTTCCTTCTGCAATTAGGTTTTGCATAATGATTTTTTTGTAAAATAACGCAGATGATGATAACACACCTGATCTTCAGAAACCTTTTTGTTCTTGCATCCTCATGTTTAACCATAGTCAATAAACTTCTGCAGTTACCCATCAGTTCATGTTTAACCATAGTCAAGAAACTTCTGCAGTTACCCATCGGTTCTACTGAAATATAGTATCCAAACCAGCTTGCAGGTAATAAAATGCCATAATTAGGTTGTTAAGATATATCGTTGAAAGACTTCAAGGTGGCTCACGTTATGAGTTTGCAGCTTAGGAGAACGGAAACGAATATACTGTAACTTTGGACACTTAAAGTAGAAGGTAAGGTACTTATTCAACCATTGAAATCTCATTTTAGATATGATTTTTCTATTTTTTCGTCTCTTGCAGTAGTGGCACGCCACACATCCATTATTATAATAAAGGTTTTCAACTCTAATACATAGACTGAAGAGCTTTAATCTCTTAACGTTTCAAAACGTTATGATCTCCTAAACCTTTTTCCTTTTGTCATCTTCTCATTGTTGCAGCTTAGGACCATCATGATTCGTGCGGAGTCAAATGACCAGCGGATTTCATTTGAAAGTGATCTCGGCCAATCAGATAAAGCACCTCCTCTGATGGAACAACAACAACAACAACCATCAGGAGGCCTAATTTGGAGAGACACAACACTTTTAGATTCATCAAATCAAGATTTCGAGTTCCACATTTCCAGAACCTTTGATCCTTCACCAGCTGATGAGATCTTGGCTGACGGGATGATCCTTCCTTTCCAAGTAACTACTGCATCCGTCATGCCAAAAGGTCTTTACAAGTACCAGTGATGAATTCGAAGAGAGCAATGCTTAGGGACGTTGATAAGCATAGCTCGCAGAGACGTGGTGGAGCCCCACGTCCAGAAGCAGATCCGTAGGTTGGGTGTCTCATATTTTCAAGAGCTGAAAACACTGAACAATGCAGAGAAGATGACCCAAAGTTCATTTTCCATGGCAGGTGCTTCAATTCTCTGTGTTCTATAGGTTCTTAGATCACTAACATCTGCAATTGATGATAGCAGTATTGGATTCAAAAAGAAAACATAACATGAGAGGAACAAATTATTATGCAGCTACATTTCTGTCCACTGTAAACCTCGGTGATCATGCCATAGGGGTCTCTCTTCCGTCCCCTCTTTTCCATGGAACTCAGAGCTTTATTACCGTTTATTGAGGCTTTCTTTGTTCTGTCAGACAATGTAATCTCTGCCAATATTACAGAAGTTTGTTTGATTTCAAACTGGTACTTTTAAGCTTCAATCATGGTATTGTAACAGATTGAATGCATGATAGTCTATGTGTACGTTACTAAGATGAGAGAAACAAATTATTTATGTGAGTATCAATCTCTTTTTATGAGGTCTTCCAACAAATCATGGTACTTAATAGACAAATAGAAAGTAAACAAAAATAATGAATTTGTTTCAGAAATGACAACTTTGCATAAACTTAATACGGGTTGGAGCCGGATAAAGTTTGGCAGATTAATATTGCTGAAGCTTTTTACCCACTTTTTAGGAGTTGCTGTATTTGAAAAAACTTAGGGCAATTTTCTCAAATAACATTTTTAAATTTTTGTCAAAAAATCATCAAAAACTAAAATGACAAAAATAGTTTCTTTTATTTTAAACTTTGTAATATTTACTTTTTGTTTTTTGTTTTTTAAAAAAAATTTGAAATAACATCCCTAAAACTCAACCCCTTAACTCTAAATCCTAAAGTCTAGATTAAAACCTTATAGTATAAATGCATACTTATCATTTAATAAAACTTCTTTTGGTCATTTTCCTCTTTGATAGTTATAATTTGGTTATTTCGATTTGGGTTTTGGTTAGTTTGATTCGGAATTTTGATTAGGGTTGATATTGTTTGGTAAAAAAAACTTAAATTTATATATATATCACTTTTATTATTACCTTCAAGCAATAATATTATAACATTTGGATTTATAGTTTAGTAACTAATTAGGATTTAATATTTAGGAGGTAAGGTTTAGTTTATAAACTTCTATAAATATTTAAAAATAATTTTCAAATATCTATAAATGATTTAGAAGAGTTATTTTAGTTTTTTCATCACAAGCTTAAAATATTTATGAAACTAATTATATTTAAAAGTAAATTTAAAAGTAATATAAAATTTATGGTAAAAAAATAAAAAATTTCCAAATTTAATAACATAAAATATGTATACTCCACACGTTTGTATATAAATACTTTAGTCTATAGCATACACTAGACGGCATTTGAGTCATATTTTGGTTGTTTTTAGTATCTTACAAACATTTGTATTATTTTAATACAAAAAAGTTCATAAATAATAAACTGGATGCAAAAACTCACAACCCAAATCTCATTAATTATTTTTCAGAAAACAATATTTTATTTATATTTAATAATTTATTTCTATTGTGCTATATAAGATGTTGATTAAAAGGTATTTTATTTCCTTTAATCGGGGTCAATAGGAAAATTCACATCAGCAATATAAAAATATATAACCAACACTTAGTATCTAATTTCTATAATGTCTTCTACCTTCATTCTTGGAACATCGATGATGAAAAATAAAAACCTCATGAAAACTAATAATGTTAAAAAATATAATATTTAGCTGAGAACAGTATATAGAAAATAGTATGTAATAGAAATATTTAGTTTTCATAACATAAGAACCTCATGAAAGGTTGGATTGGTAGAGGATGTGACTTTAGTTATTTTGATTTAGAATGTATGTTGTAAGTTTTTTTCTGTGACTTTAGATTAGATTGATGTAAATTTATATTAATTACTTTCAAAATACTAAACGTATATATATTTTTAAAATGATTCCCAAAACCAATATATTTTCTAATTTAACATTTGGTTTGTAGTTTTAAATTATTTTCTTTAAAAAATAATTGATAAATTAAAATGATTGTAAAAAATAAAAAGAACAGTAAAAAATACTCATAGAACTTACCAATTACCTCTAAAACCATTTATGAAATTTCAGAAAATATTCAATAAATCAATTGTTTACCTTTTATCGAGGTGATAAAATTATTAGATCCAACACTTTTGAAATTGTAAGAAAATTCAACAATTTTATTTTTCATGTATATTTCTAGAGAGATTGATTTTATTGGGAAGAACTTAAACTCTTAGTCACTAATTATACAATACGAATCAGAAAGAGTGAACAAAATAGTTAAGAAATCAAAATTTAAAATTATTGGAGTTTTAACTAATTTTACTGTAATAATATTTTAAATAATGTAATATCTATTTTTATCATTATTTATGTTTTACATTCTAAGAAGTGAAACTTCATTTTAATAATTTATATTTATTAAAGTTTCCAATATATTACATATTTAAATATAAATAGTATTTTAAAATGAATTAAAAAATTATGAAAATAAATCCGCCTATAGTCCGGGAAAAGACTATACCCAGCTATGCCATGTATGTATTTTTTAATATAAATTAAGATGTCTTGATATCTCCTTCAATTTAAGTTAACCTAATTTTTACTTTTCAGACTTTTTTTTTCTTATATGGTCCATATCATTGCTACTTCTCTTCGCTTCTTCAAGATACATTATCTCTTTCTTACATTATTATGATCATTTAAGCTACTCTTTTTATTTTTAAAAAATTAGAAACACTTAATAATCACCAAGTTTTTCATATTTTTAAAAAATACAGTGTTCTCAATACAAAATAGCGTAGTAAATTATGATTTTAACCTAATTATTTATTCGAGTATCCGCGCGTAGCGCGGAAAAGACTCTAGTATAAATAAATATCAAGTATAAAACATCATCAATATAAATTAGGTTTTTTATTCATATGATTTTTCTATAGATTTTTGTGTAGTTTTAATGGTTTCTATCTAGTTTAATAATTTTGATATTAACCTGTTTATGTGATTGGTTCATAGTCAAACCAATTATTAGTCCTGACCCGAATACCTATCTAATTTATGATAAGAATATTTCCAACACCACTCTAGTTTCTACACTAAACTATATTATAGAGTAAAACTTTCTTCAACCCTATTCAATATCACATTCTAAATAATGTGACTTTATTTTTCACTCTATATTTGGAGTACCTATATTTTCTCACTATTATAGAGTGATTTTTTTATTTATATATTAGTCTTTTTATTCTTTAATCTTTTTATTTGTAACAATTTATATAATTTAATTATGTAAACAACACATAATCATGTTCAACACAAAATCTAAAAAGGTTTGTAATTTATTATTATTATTAGCCAAAAAAAACAAGCACTAAAATTAAAATAATTTTATAAGATTAACCAAAGAAAAAAATACTAAAATTTAAAATAAAACATAACATAAAATTAAAACCATGGATAATAGTGATGTTAAAATTCTAATAAATTGCTTCCAGATCTACCAAGATTGTTAAAATATTCTCCAAATGAGGTAGATGAAGGAAGAGCTTCTTGTTCATGTTGTTAACTATGTCTCTTTTTGTAAAACTCGATCTTCGTTCCTCTTGAAAGTATGCACAAACATCTGAGTGCACTGAATTCAATCACAAAATAAATATATTTTTTTTTCTTCAGTTCATTCAAAGCATAATTCTTCTTCTGAATCTCCAAATGATATTTTTGTTGTGCGTTTGTCTTCTTTCGCTATTTGATCATTTATGGAAAATATATACAAATATGATGTTTAAGTCAATATATATTATGTTTAATATAATCTAATATATTTTTAATGTAATAAATATTGGATATAAATATGTTATTTATGAAAATTTTATATGAAAATAAAATATAAAGGATCAATTTGTAAATTTGTAAATAAAACGTCTTAGTTATAAAATAAAAAAGAATATATTTAAGAAGATTATAAATTAGAATCAAATATAAAATAAATCATTGAAGAAAAACTTTACTCTATTTTAGTCTTTAGAGTACCATTGAAGATGGTATAAAACCCTGACTAACCATTGAATTGGTAAGGTTTTTTGTGGAAAAAAAGTTGGTTATAAGTAACTTTTAATTTCTTTTTGCAGATTAATTACCCAACTAGTATTACACCCATGCTATGCATGGGGATACTTTTCTTACAAATAATACCGAATTTTAACTAAATAACTAAAAATCTGTATTATTGAACTTTGAGTTTTCAGAAGAATATGCATATATATATATATTATATTGCTACTAAAGAAATCCAAGCTTTAGCTGTAAAGGAAATAACACAAGGAGGAAGCAAGCTTTGTAGCCCAAATCTCTCAGTAAAAAAAAAGTGTGTTATGTGCAAATGGGAGAAAAATCACTCCTAACAGAGACAACAAAATGAGAAAGAAAAAACGTTATTTAATCAAAAAACATCAAGGAGAGTATAATCAGTCTCTTCGCTAATTTTATTCAGTATACAAAATTTCATAGAACTCACTTCCCAAAGCTTTAAACCTTGATCATTATATGATTTAAATGAAATGGATCAAAAGAAAATATAATAGGAGAACCTTGTTAAACCATGGATCCTTAAAGATATCAGTGCCAAGCTTGTGACGATGGAAGGACCAGGAATCGCCATGGGAGAACCACCGCCGAGATCCGTATTTCTGCAGCCACGGCCGCTGCCTTAGAGAAGTCAACAATGGTGCTTTACATCACGGGTCTGGGAAATCACTCTCAATATCCAAACTATAACCCACAATTCAGTGATATGAAATGTTCCATGGAAAAGAAAAATTCAAAAATTTATGTGTCTTATGAACAGAGTAATAAGTTTTGATCTTTTTTCTTCTCTTGAATGACTATATATGACTAGTAAAAGGTAAAGGATCGTGGATAAAGGGGAATGATCATGGGTAATGTAGTTGATTTCAATTCCCCTTTTTAAGGGAGAATTTGTGCAGTAGCCATATTTTGAGTGGAAATTAAGAAAATAGCATTGATTTTGACGTTATTAAGTAATTAGCTTTTGTCTCATATTTTATCTGGTTACACCCTTGTCGTTAACAAGTATCCGGTAAGAAAAAGAGAGAGTACATGACGTAATAGATTTCATGTTGCAAATCTTAAAATAAGTGATGTGATTTTTTTGTGGGATATAATTGTACAGAGTGCATAGACCAGTTATAACTAACACATATGATATAAGAAAATATTGTGAAATGAGTGGATACGAATTGTACACGTTACAACTTATGTTAACGTAACGGAGAAACAAACTGTATACATTTCTATTTTACATGGAAAATAGTATAGATCATAAAATAAACTGAATATCAACTAAGAACTAAACCCTAATACAATATAAACCCAAAACTATTTTAAATTAATTATTAAACGACAATATCAATATAAACTCCAATTTTCTTGAAAACTATTTCAAATGAAATAATGAGGGGTGATCCACGTATCATTTATTGTCCACATACATATGTCGAAAATTATATTCCATATCACCGAAATAGTATAGGACTCTAACCCAACACATAACTCTTAAATGCTAAACCCATACCTAAATTTTGAATACTAAATCCTAAATTGCTATCACTAAACCCAAACCTTAACCCTTACCTTCCAAATATTAAACCCTAAGTCCTAATCACTAAACCTAAACCCAAATATAGACTCTAAACTCAAATAAAATGAAACAAAAACACAATATAGTACATATTGGTGAACAAAATAAAACACACTTTATTAATCTTCAAATGAAACAATACATGTTCATTAAACCTTAATCATTAATCCAGTGTCAACCCCAATCATTCATAAATTAAATGCTAGCCACTAATCACTAAACCATACATGGAAATATAAACCCTAATGTAAAGTCAACCCCAATCTTTCATAAACAAAACCCAAATTTCAAAATGAAAATAACATGTTTTTCTATTCTACATGAAAATATAGAATAGAAAAGGTAACAAACGGTATAACACGATACATATATATTATTCAAATTTTGAAGTGAATAGGATTAGAGGGAAAAATGTAATGCTTAAAATAAATTAAGATTAACAGCATTAGAGAAAAGAGATGGAAGAGACATATGAATATCATTCCCATTCAACATCACATCATTTTTTGTTTTATTTGATGTCATAATAAATCATATTCCATTTACGTTCAATATATTATTTCTCTTTACAAAATCATATACACACTGATATAAAACACATATATACACGACTGCAAAACTTATATCAATATAATATGAAATAACAATAAATAAGATTGAACCCTCTAATGTATTCTTGATCACCTCAATTCAACGGAGGTTGAAATAGTTGTTAATCTTTCTTTCCAGTGGGTTCAAAACATGTCTCAAACAATCTACTTGGAAGGCAAATCGTCCATGCTAAACCTGCAGAACAAAGTAAGAGGGAAACATGGTTATGACAGAGTAATTCATTTTATCTTATACAGCAAATAACCTTCTATATTTCAAACGATATGATTGTTGATAAAGAATTATAGCGCATACATTACAGATCATTCAATTCCATCTCAAGTAGACTAATTTGTCAAACTATTCCATCACAAATAGAATAGTTTAAACATATAGTTTTTTCTATTCCATCTCAAATAAAATAGGCATGAGAGATTTCACGCAGATAAGTTATCTTACAGATGCTATTCCATATAACAAACTATAATACTATACTATTTACTATGTATCTCCCTTAAAATGTAAAATTAAGAACAATCGGGAAAACCAAAATCCTAAATTAATTGAGAAACTTTGATGCAAAAATCAGATCCAACTTGCAATGGTATCGAGATTATAGATTTACTAATTATAATACCTTAATTCTGACAATCGACCAAATAAAAAACAAAAGAAAAATAACAACATATGAAGAGATTCAAAGATAACACCTGAGAACTTACTGCAATTCCAAAGATCTAAGAAGAATCAACTTGGGAAGTTGGAGAGGAAAGATCTGTTACTAACCGCAGCTGCAACTTTAACGCCATACGATGTCAGAGGATGGCACAAGCAAAGAAAAGTACATGATTGGAATGGGAGTACGAAGGAGATGTCAAATTTCGAGGAGAGGGAGGCGGAGGTGACGCAGAACTGGAGTCGTTGTTAGAGACGTTTCACTTTCCAGAAATTACTTAGATAAGTGAAAAGGAAGGTGGGGAGGATGGTAAGCCACGATTTACAGTTTTACACCTAATAATTATATATTTTTTCATTTTTTTTTCCAGGTTTAACCGGTTGATGGCAGGGACAAAATAGTATTAATATGAAAAGATAACGGCGTGTGTTGATCTGTTAGGTTTAATAGCTATTTCACAAATTAGGTTTTTTGTGTGGCTATAGAACTCAATTCCTATTTTTTTAACAAAACAAGAAACGGTTCGTTATACAATTGTTTTTTACATATCTAAATTATTATTTGTTTTGATTAATTTCTCTCAAATTTTGTAAATATTTTCCACATGTCAAATTTTGATTTGTTGAGTGACTTGTGTTTTTATTATATTAGGGATCTGTTGAGCAATAATTTGATCCAAAGAAAAACCATCAGCTGATTTTCACAAATTTAGGCAGTTCAGTGTTCGGGCCATTAAGGCCCATATTTATGCCTTTATTTTTGTAAGGAAACAAATCTGGCAAAAAAAAAAGAGAGAAGAGAGGCATTATCCTTACGACGAGGAAGCCGTCGTTTTGAGGGTTTTTATTTCTTCACACACCGTTCCTTTCAATCTCCTGAGATCTTCTTCAAAGGCCTCCCTTTTCTCGATCCGTCGTCGTTTTGATTCATTCAAAGTCCATCTCTGTTCCGCGCTGTTTTCAGGTTAGTCTCCCTTCCCCGGCGTCGTTTCATCCCCCTTTTAACGTCAATGTCTCATCTCCTTTGCCTTCTCTCTCTCCGCAAACGAACAATCGAAAATCCTAAATCAAAAGCTTTATCTTTTATCCTTTGCAAATCAATTGAATTCGTGAAAAAATCTCTGGCCTCATCTGAAAGATTCGATTTTTAGGGTTTCGAATTTTCATGAAATTTTGATGCATTGAATATCATCTGGGCATCTCTCAATTCATCAAAGTTTTAGTTTTTAATGGTAAAGTTTGAAGATTTAAACATTCTCTAACAGGTGAGTGTTGATGCTTATGGACGTTATTACAAATCCTGGTCCACTTAAGGACATTGTTCTTTATGATCAAGAGAAACATGTTTCCTCTGCTGTCTGGGATGGCCAGGTTTCAACAATCTTCTTCTCAATGTCTCCTTTTTAACTGGTTATTATAGACTAACAATTTATATGGAAACAAAACTTGTTAGGAGCGAGGTGCGTTGAGGTGTCATGAGCACACTTCAAAGCTGAGTGAGTGGAAGCTCAACTCAAAGCAGATTGAGTTAGTGGATAGAGCCGGTTTTGGGTATTTGAGACGTATCCCTGCCATTAGTCTTGACAACCCTCTCATCTCTTCCTTGGTGGAGCGATGGAGGAGAGAGACCAACACTTTCCACTTCACAGTTGGTGAAATGACTGTTACCCTCGAGGACATTGCCCTCTTACTCGGGTTAGCGATTGACGGTAAGCCTGTGATTGGATTCACATATACGAGTTGTTCTTCGGTTTGTGAGAGGTACTTAGGACGGGGCCCTGATTCTCATTACGCTAGCGGTGGGATGGTGAAGCTTAGCTGGTTGAAAGAAAATTTCTCCTCCTGCCCTGAAGACGCTTCTTTTGAAGAAGTTGAGAGGCGTACAAGGGCTTACCTTTTGTACTTGGTGGGGAGTACCATCTTCTCTACAACCACTGGGAACAAGGTCCCTGTTATGTATCTCCCTCTCTTTGAGGATTTTGATGACGCTGGAACTTTTGCGTGGGGTGCTGCTGCTTTGGCTTTCTTGTATAGAGCACTTGGGAATGCTTCTGTTAAATCTCAAAGCACTATATGTGGTTGCTTGACACTATTACAGGTGCTCTTTAGTTTTCATTTCTTTATCTATTCCCCCAATACTGTTTCCGCACAGTTTCTTATTCTTTTGGTTTTTGTGTAGTGTTGGAGTTATTATCACTTAAACGTTGGCCGGCCAAAGCTGAACCGTGAGCCAGTCCATGATCATTTCCCATTTGTGCTTAGGTGGAAGGGAAAACAAAACGGTCCAACAGCAAACCGTGATGTGGTCTTTTATAGGAAAGCACTGGACGCCTTGAAGCCATCTGATGTAAGCTCTTACATATATTCATCAGCTGTGTTAATACATTTCTTTTGATATAATTTCCTTGTGGTCTTTTAGGTGGAGTGGCTACCGTATGAACACATGGATGGTAGATATATACCAGAACACATTAGGAACTCTCTGCAGTTAGGTAGATCAAGAACAATGCTGGTATCTTTTGACAAGGCGGAGAGACACCTTCCTGATCGCTGTCTGAAACAGTTTGGTTTAGTTCAAGGAATCCCAGAGGATGTGCCGAAGTGGGTAAGGAAGTCCCGTGGAGTGGATGGAGGTTTCGACCTTTCGACTAAAATGGACACAGAGCTAAACGAATGGATGTTGCGTTGGGACAATATCGTGCCTGATGATGTTCTTGGTGTTGATGAAGCAGACTACATGAGGTGGTATCTAGGAATCACCCGTAAAGTTGTCGGAAGGCCAATCTCTCTCTCAAGCGAGTTTCAAAGAACGGTAAAATAGTTTCTTGACACACTCAAGCATGTTTACAGTACTTTATTCTTCCTCCTTGTTGTTGTTATTGCAGATTACAAATGTTAGGGATATATTGGAGTTGGCTGAGAATTTTCCAACACATGATTTGGACCATGAAAGAAGGAACATGATGGAAAGGATTATCAGCCTTGCGCAAGATAGTCTGAGAGATCAAGTGGGAGTAACGCCAACGGAAAGCCAGCTGCAGATCGAACATGGGAAAAGGATGCGAGGCAAAGAAAGGGTGAGAAGGAAAGGGATGGGAAAGAGAAGGAAAGGTATTGATCCAATGGAAGACTATGGAGGTAGTGAGGATGAATCACAATTTGGACCTGTGCTTGGGGTTGATCAGTTGCATTTACCACTGACCCATCACGGGAACTCGGTGTACGATGGAACACATATGTACGATCCTGTCACCAAAGTCGATGACATGGAGCTTTGCGACGAGATACCTCAGTTTCCTGAAGCTCAAGACATGAACAAGATTGATGGGTCGTCGCTGGATGATGCAAACAAGTCTTTTGAGGTTGGTACAAGCAATGCAATGACTGGTGAGGAGAGCCTAGGGGAACTGCCTGAGAGCTATGATGTGAAGAGAGAAGATAGAGAATCAAAGGTAGAAGACAATGATGCAGCAAAGGAAAATAGTGATGTGAGTGGTGAAGAAAACGTGAACAGAGAGTTAGACATGGGAGAAAATGTTGCAGAATCGTCTTCACTTGGAAGAAGAGGAGAGAACTCTGTTGTGGCTTGACAAAGGAAGGCTGCAGATGAAGTTTAGTTTTTCTGTTTTATTTTGTTTATTTAAAACCTCTTTTGGTCCGTTTTGTTGAAGTACTCTCTCTTTTTGTTAGAAGTATGTTAATTTTTCTGTAAAAGAGGTTGCAGAAGAAAAATAAAATAAGCATGAAACAGATTAGATGACAAAAACCAAGTTTGAGTTAGATGATTAAAATTACTTATACATTCTTTTATTAAAATATCTGTAGAAGAGGTTACCGAAGGAAGAAAGAGCATGAGGCTTTGCTCAAAAAAGAAGCATGAAACAGGTTAGATGATTCATTTGTGATATAGTCAAATGATAAGCTAACTTTCAAGATATCAATTACAATACTTCATTTTCATATCTAAAACTAGCTACCATATTGGAACCATATTTAATTTGGTTTGGTTCGATATTTATATTAGCAGTTTTTGATTTATTCGGTTTTATACCAAATAACATTATTATTTGATTTGGTTTCATATTATATGAATTTAAAAAAATATATTGTCAAAACTATCATTTATTAAAATAATCTTAGGTGTTCATAAAAATAAAGATATGAAATTAATAACAAACAAAACGACCAATGATTCAGTTTTATATAGCTTTTCTTATTTTCTAATTTCACAATTTCTTACAACATGCAAAATAAAATCAAATTTAGATAATAGTTGAAGAAAATAAAATAAAACTATTAAGATATATCTTCAAAAGGAATAAATAAGTTAAAAAAAAAAGAAACTATTCCAAGAAAATAAATGGTTATATAATGTATATATTTATATATTTTTTCTTTGATCGGTTTTGTTCGGTTTAATCGGTTATAAACCTAACTATATCCAAATCCTACGGTTTTTATAAAATCATATCTATTCGGTTTATATGGTATATACCAAATCCAAACCATATAATGTTAAAAAAAATATTCTAAGAAAATAAATGGTTATATAATGTATACTCCCTCCGTTTCATATTAAGTATCATTGTAGAGATTTTTTTGCGTTACAAAATAAGTGTCATTTTCGGTTTTCAATGCAAAATTTATTAATTTTATTATGTAATTTGTTTTTCTATTGGTTAAAATATGGTTAGGTGTACGGGTAATTGTGTTTTTATATAGGAAATATGTAAAATTAATTGTTTCCTTAATCCGTGTGCACAGCTGTAGAGTGACACTTATAATGAAACAGAGGGAGTATATTTATATATTTTTCTTTGATCGGTTTTGTTCGGTTTATTCGGTTTAATCGGTTATAAACCTAACCATATCCAAATCCTACGGTTTTTATAAAATCATATCTATTTGATTTATATGGTATATACCAAATCTAAACCATATTGTCTATTTCGGTATTACCATATTGAACAGCCCTATATTATTAGTGTCATTGTTTCAAACAGCGTAATTACAGTCTAACCAGTGAATCATCATGTTGGGCCCAAAAATAAAAATGAGTGTTACTATATAAATATTGGTTAACCCATGAAATAGTGTTCATTCACTTTGGAAAAAAATTAGTTAATTTATTCAACAAAAATGCTATTTTTCTCGTGCCATTTCTCTCACTTTCTATTAATCTTTGTAAAGAGAGTAGTGTTTATCACTACAATTTCGCGTTTGTAGTTTTGTGAATATTTGAATAATTAACAACATTGTTTACCTAAATTCGAAACTGTTTGGGGATCAGTGGTGGTTCAACAAATTGACCTTTGAAAATGCTCTTTTACTAACTTTACTTACAAAAGTACTTGGGGTCCTAAATAAAAGTAGTTCCAAAAGGAGGTCAAGTTGTGTGAGAATCGATGCTTTGTTCCTCGGAGAAAGTGGTTTGATTTATGCTTTCAGTTTATAGTAACCAATAGGTGAGTCTATTAAGTTGGTAAACGATTGAAGTCACGGAATTGGGCTAGTTATATGTTGTGTTTTAAATTTATATGAATTTATCGAATCAGCCCTAGTTATTGTGTTTGGCAATGGGCATGTTTGTGTTTCTCTTCAAACATCATAAAATGATTGCAGAATTGCAAAAGATTCAACATTCAACATTTCGACCAGAAAAAAACTTCCATCAGAGAAAACGGTCCTTTGATTGATCCGAAGAACCTCCAACCTCGAAAGCACAATAATACATGAAAAATTAATTATGTAAATTCAAGTCACAAATGAAATATCAATCATTTTCCCCCATTGTAGTCTTGGGTTTCTGCAATGTAAAGATTTAAAATGTTTTTTTTTTTAATCTCATATTGCTTACTAGTGACCTCTAGTTTCAAAATTTTGGTTTAGTGGTATATTTATGGCTCCACATGTGCAAAGTTTCATGTTCGTCGATGTTGTAGGTCGGCAAGCGGATTTGGTTCAAACGTGAGTTCAGTTTAGGTAATTCGATTATCTGTTAATTTAGTTCACTTTTTTTTTTGTAAAACTAAACAAAATATTCGTAAATTTTTATTTGATACGAATCGAAAACTCTTCATATCTCTAACTTTATGAATAAAACAAATAATAATATTCATCTGTAAAAAAATGTAACAAATTACAAATATAAATATATTTAAGAATAGATATCTGATACTCTCTCTGTTTCATTATAAGTGTCACTCTACAGCTGTACACACGGATTAAGGAAACAATTAATTTTACATATTTCCTATATAAAAACACAATTACCCGTACACCTAACCATATTTTAACCAATAGATAAATAAATTACATAATAAAATTAATAAATTTTGCATTGAAAACCGAAAACGACACTTATTTTGTAACGCAAAAAAATCTCTACAATGACACTTAATATGAAACGGAGGGAGTATATTTTATGCATATATATATACATATATTTAATATATTATATATATAATTTATATAATTATTTTATTTTACACTAGTTTAAAAATATTTTATATTATTAGGTTTATTATCCCTTTATTATATCCACTATCAACTTTTTTAAAGAAAACAATTTTATCTTTGTAATAAATTATTAAATAGTATCATCTAATATCAAATTTAGATTTTTTATTTGTCGGATCAAATCGAGTTGAATTCTTTTTCTTTTTTTTTTTTTGATAATAGGACCCCCAATATCTAAATGTATATTAATCATATCAAATAGTTGATTATTTGGACAAAGTAGAGATCTCTATAATATTATTTGAGAAGTCACTTTCTTAGGTGTCGCGCTCACGTTAACTCTCACGCTGGTTGATTACTATGATACCCCTAATGAATTAAAAATACAATTAAATATTATTTCCTTTTTAAAAATTTCCAAATAACAATATAAAATAAAAAGGAAACATTTATAAAATTTACAAAACTATTTAAAAACGAAATTATAAGTATATATAATATGATTAATAAAAAAGGAAATTTCACAAAATAGTAATAATTAATTTAAATATATTTTAAATAACATAAAATATACCTTTGAAGTAATAAAATACTTTATATCTATATCTTCTTAGAATAAAAAAAACAATATATGTATATAATGAGATTTCATATAAAAAATTCACACAAAAAATATTGCTATTAGAAAAAGAAATATTTTTTCCTTAAAAAATAATTTAAAACAATAAATATATATATTTTCAAAATAATTATGATTACATAAAATAACCAACTAACATAAACTGATATATGTTTAACTGACATTTTTTTATAATTAGTATTCTTGAAATTATTTTTTAGTATATTTATTTGACTATAATATCTTACAATTACAATAAAAATATAAATTCTATTTTACTTATATAGTATAACAATCACTTTTTACTGACTATTTTAAGAAATACTAAAAATAAAACTAAAAATAAATTTAATGATAAACATCTTTTGATCAAGTAACTACAATTATTTTAAAATATCATAACACTATATAATTTAGTGAGGTAGATATATTATATTTTAATAGTTAAAATTATCTGTTCTAAGAATAAGGATTCTGATTTACTTAAGTATTTTGATTATGGTTATATTAAGTTTCACAAACATAAAAACAGAAAATAACTACAATTATTTTAAAATACCATAACACTATATAATTTAACGAGGTAGATGTATTATATTTTAATGTTAAAATTATCTGTTTTCTTAATAATCTTTTGATTTTAATTTTTTGTTTTTATGTTTGTGAAACTTAATATAACCATAGTCAAATACTTAAGCAAATCAGAATCCTTATTTTTAAAATTATTTAGAATAAATTTCAGTTTACCATCCAAACAATCTAAAGCATAAATTTATTTAGAATTTATAAAATATATTAACTATTGTAAATATTGATATGTGTTCAAAAATCTTCTAGAAATTCATTAGTTACTTATGTATGTAATTTAGAATCAGAAACTTTAGTTTTTATTTGTTTTTCCTTCTAAGCACAAAAAAATCTTAAGTTATATATAATCTTACTAAATATACTTATATTTCTAAGATAACAACCAACTTAAATGTAAATAAGACAATTAATCAAAAATTTAATATTTTCAAAATATAAAAGATAATAGTTGAATTCAGAGAAATAGATAGAATCCAATATATCTAAATGATAACTAAATCGACCGTAAAAACAATAAAACAGACTAAATATAACATATCTAAAATTATATATATATAATTAAAGTAATATAATATTATAATATAAATTAGACATACAAACTATAAATTAATTTAAAAATGAAAGTAAATATCAATAAGTTATTATTGTATATTTATTTTATAAATATACATGTCCGTGCATGAGCACGGGAAAATCACCTAGTTACAGATATCTTCAAAACCCCCCATTATTCGATTTATGTCCAACCATATTTTATAAATTGGTAAGAATATTTTAAACCCATATTTAAGATAGGTCAATTAAGTATTTAAATTATGATGAATATTTTTCTATTAAAGGTCCTTTGTTCCTTGAATTTAATATTTAATTAAGTAGGCTGATTTAGTATTTGCAAAATCCGATCCCTGTACTCTTATATATTTCCACTTTGTGTACTCTCTGGGGCCACCAGGCACAATATTAATGCGACACACGAGATTATAATGCACTGGGTGGGTCCCAATGGTTACTTTAATTTTGTCGGCTTGCAGGTTGTGAGTGGGAGAGAATATATGTCATCTCAAGACTTTACAAACGTATTCAGATCAAACTGTGTCCACCTAGCTTTCAGTGTGCCGCGTCGCACCGAATAATATACCCTCCTTCCCACTTCTCTCTTTCTCTCCTCCAAAGTCCTTCCAAGTCCAACCAATCTGATATTCGGACACGACCCCTTTTGTCTCCTTTTTTCTCTTTGGCTTTAGTTTAACCCCAATTTTGAGGTTGTTCGATTTCGATCTGCAGATTCTTGATCTTGCCGGAACTCGAGAAGCTTCGGTTTGCGTAGTTTGGTCGGAAGGTGATCTTCTCGATGTCCGTGCTAGGTGATTACTTTTTTTTTTCTTTTTTAATTCTAAGTTTTAACAAAGTTCTTTAATTCAGAACTTAATAATGCTTATTAGTATTAAATGGTATTTAGGGTTTTCAATATTTTTTTGGGGAGAATAAAAAAGGGAATTTTTAGCTGCTATTGATGTTTTAAGTACAAACGATGATTATCTCTAGATAGGAGATTAACGTAGATCATAAGTGTGATTAAACCTCAGAAAAATCATTTGTTGTTTGGTTGGTAAACACTTTTTAGTGTAGACTTTAATCTTCCGACCAAAGCAGAGAACTCTATGTTTGTTAGTGGTTTAAATATTCTGAAATAATTTTGGGCTTTTTTTATTGGTCTCTTTCAGGTTAACGTTAAGCTCTAATTAAATTACGTCTGCTGGTTAAAGATTTTGTTGGTTCTTTATGGCTGAGGTGGGAAAAGTCTTGGCTAGTGACAATTCAAGCGAGACTAAAGCACCTGATGTTGTTGCTTCCTCGGATAAAACGGAGGCTACACCATTGGCTACTGTTACTAGAACTGAAACTGAGCAATGTTCAGGCGAGATTGGGGAATCAACAGACAGCAAGAAGTCACTACAGCTCGTTCCCTTTACCCCATCTTCAATGTCTGAAGAAGTAGCTGTTGCTACAGAGAAAGCACCAAAGATTCCTGAAAGTGGTACTGTCTTATCCTTGACGCAGTCTGGTTCGGAAGGGAGTAGCCCATTTATCCGGGAGAAAGTTATGGAAGACGGATACAACTGGAGGAAGTATGGACAAAAACTTGTTAAAGGGAATGAGTTTGTGAGGAGCTATTACAGGTGCACGCACCCAAACTGCAAAGCCAAGAAGCAATTGGAACGGTCTCCGGGTGGACAGGTCGTGGATACAGTTTACTTTGGTGAGCATGATCATCCAAAGCCTCTTGCTGGTTCTGCTGTTCCTATCCATCAAGATAGGCGAAGTGATGTATTAACGGCTGTTAGTAAAGGTAAGGAATGGTTTCTATTTATGTAAGTCTTTCTTTTGGCGCTTATGGTGTGGTATCATGTTTGCAGAGAAATCATCTGGATCTAGTAGTGTTCAGACACAACGACAAATGGAGCCACCAAAGGTCCATGGAGGATTACATCTCTCTGTTGTTCCAGTGTCCGATGATGTGAAAACTGCTGTTTCACCATCAAGTAGGATAAAGAGCGACAAGGATAACATTAGTCCTGCCTCAAAGCGAAGGTACTGATGATCAATGTTGCATTTTTTTTTTCTTTCCTTTCATGGTTGTGGAAGAAGGCTTTCACCATTTGTGTTTGTTTGTTTACTTCTCATGTCCATGTCACTAAACCAGGAAGAAAGGAGGTAACATCGAGCACATTCCAATGGAGAGACCAAACAATGAATCACGCAATGTGGTTCACACTCAGACTCTGTTTGATATTGTGAATGATGGGTACAGATGGCGTAAATATGGTCAGAAGTCTGTGAAAGGCAGTCCATATCCAAGGTAATGATCATTTTCATGTTTATAAATTGTCTTTTCGTTTCATTACTTCTCCTCCACTCACGTTGTTTCTCTATTTGATGGTATTAGGAGCTACTATAGATGTTCAAGTTCTGGATGCCCGGTCAAGAAACACGTAGAGAGATCATCTCATGACACGAAGATGCTTATAATGACGTACGAGGGAAGTCACGACCACGATATGCCACCAGGAAGGATTGTCACTCATAACAACACGCTGGACTCTGAAGTTGATGACAAAGAACCGAGTGCTAAAGACACACAAGTCAATAAAACTCCTCAGAGCTCAGCTCCTGAGACCATTACCAAAGAAGAGCGCGTTGAACATCACTCAAAAAAGAAAGCCAAGACTAATGGCCTTGAGAAAAGTCTTGTCTTGGATGCGAAGCCCAAGGAGGAAACAAAGGACAGCTCTGATGCAACCAAAACAAAGTCAGATGATAAAACATCAAGAACTATGGAGAGTGAGGAACAGAAACCCAAAGCAGAGTCTGGCCAAAGCTAAGGCATTTGTCTGGTGTTAAATGATATACAGATGCTTAACATAGAGTAGTACAGGCATACAGTTTGCTGTTCAGGCGGGAACCAGATTAGATTTAGTGTATAATGGAATGGAAATAGTATGCTTATGACATTTATATCTATATAGCATGCTGCGCATTAGCCATTTCGATTTGGTTCAAATAAGAGTTGGTAGCACAACAAGAGTCTTTCTTTGTTGATGGAGCCTGTTGTAATAGTTGTAGATTGGGGGTATGTATATGATTTGATCCAACTTTTTATTAATGGTATTAAGACAAAACCATCTAGTACTTCCAGTTATGTTTGTGTTTCACAATTGATGCAGAAAAATTCAAATTAAATAGCTGAAATCAAGTATGGATGATACTTGAAAAGTACACAAATCTTCCATGACTTAAACTCCTGTTTAAACTACACAACAAGCAAACCGTTTTACAGCTAAGAGACCCTTTGGTCCTGAATCTACTATACACTATTATAATTCATGTATATATCTATACAAAGATAATCACACTAAGCCATAAGAGATAATAAACCTACAAAAGACAATCTGACTATACCATCAAACTTGCCTAACTATATATGTTCTTTTTTTTATTATTTGTCGAAGAATCTTGCCACTGATGAATAAAGCTCTTCCTCTTCAAACGGTTTCGATACAAAACCATCCATTCCACATTTTATGCATTTTTCATTTGTAGCCTGAATCACATCAGCAGTCATAGCTAATATTGGTGTGTGCCACTTCCTAGACTGATCGGTTTTCTTGTTCATCTCTTCTTCCAGATCACGCACTCTTCTTGTTGCTTCAAATCTGCACAGAAAGACAAAGAGATTAGCATATGACTTTGCATTCATCATGAGGTAAAAGGAAGCAAAGACTTACCCATCCATTTCAGGCATCTGCAAATCCATGAAGCATGCGTCAAAATCATGAGGCGGCTTAAGCATTGCAACTGCAGCTTTGCCACTGTCAACGCAAGTCACAAGAGCTTTATATTTCCTAAGTACTGCATCTGCCACTCTTCTATTCACCACTGTATCGTCTACCACCAATATATGTTTTCCTCTAAGCAAGCTCCCAAGATTTTTTGGCTTTCTTTTTATTTGCCTCTTCTTGCCGTCTCCCATGGTCTCTTGCAAGCAGCATATCAAGACACTCATTCGAAGTGGTTTCATCAAAACCTCGTCTACCAAACCAGAGGATTTGATCTCACTGAGCTCCAATGGAGTTGTAAAAGTAGCCAAAAGTAAAATCTTTGGGGGTCTTGTATAGGTCTCTTGACCACTGTTGAGCAGATCACTAAATGCTACATACTCTTCCTTGTTCCAGGCATCTTTGTCGACTAGAACCAAATCCAAGTTCACCAATTTACTGGCACAGGAAGTAGATGCAGTTCCAAGACTTGAAGCAATGTCTATAGAAGATATGCCAACTCTCTGTAGATGGTAACGAGTAACCTCAGCTCGAATGTTTCTGCTATCAATAACTAATGCTTTCAGTCCTTGAAACTCATGAATAGATTGATCGAATAGCTCCAACGCAGTGACTGATGAATCTTTTCCAAAAACTCCGGTAAAGGAGAAAGTAGTGCCAACACCAGGCTTGCTTACAAACCCAATCTCTCCTTGCATGAGCTCAACTAAACGCTTGCTTATGCTCAAACCTATCCCTGTCCCACCATAAGTCCGTGATGTGGAACTGTCAGCTTGCATAAACGGAGTGAAGATCCGAGATTGTGCCTCAAAAGGAATGCCAACACCTGTGTCCTCCACAGTAACAAGCAACTCAATTTTATCTGATGAAATATGATCCTGAAATGTCCTGAAGTTCCTCCAGCTTCCAGTTGCATTCACAGCAGGATAGCCGCTAAGTGTGTTACATGTCTCATCCGAACCAAGTCTTTGTTTTAGTATTTCATCTTCTGTATCAAACGGTTCTCTCACCTCATTGGTTAGGTGCACCGAGATGAATATGTGTCCCTTTTCCTGTGTGAACTTTATTTCATGGAAAAAGAACAAATATCAGGAGACTTACATGTTGATTCTTAAAGAAGTAATGGGCAGAAATCAATACCTTGATTGAGTTTCCAACCAGGTTTGTGATTATCTGTCGGAACCGACCCGGATCACCAATTATAACAGCAGGAACATGACTAGAAACATACACAGCCAACTGTTCTTGCAAAAAAACAGAGAAAAAAAAAACAACAGTCATTAGAGAAGAGTTGCATGTTAAAATAGCATTCGTTTGTGTTGTGTTGTGTTGTGTTGTGTATACCTCGATTCCTTTTTCAGCAGCCTTGCCAGAGAGGAGGGATGAGATATTATCCAGAAGAAAGCGGAGATCAAAAGGCACGCTTTCAAGCTCAAGCCTTCCTGACTCAATCTTTGCTTGATCAAGAACCTCGTTTATCAATGATATGAGATCTTTCCCACTGCCATGAGCGGTTTCAGCAAAGTCCATTTGTTTTGCGTCAAGATCAGTGTCCATCAGCAACTTCAGCATTCCTGTAAAACAGCCTTACATGTTAAGTTCCAAGAATACACAAAAAACGTTTTTAATCATATTAGTTTCCTTATTTACCTAGAACACCAACCATTGGAGTACGTATCTCATGAGAAACAGTGGCTAGGAACTGCCAATCAACACAAAAACTTGATTAGGTGAGAAAAAGATATACTCCCTCCCTTCCAAAAAGATCAGTGTCCATCAGCAAAATTTGATTGTCAATGATTGTTTTTGGTAATTAACTATTCCCAGAACGCTTAACCAATATAATTTTAATAAACACAATTAATTTTCTTGTCGTTTACAATTTAACATTAAATAATCACTTGAAATGTAAAAAACTGTAAATTTTTTAAGCAATTTTTTTTTCTAAAACATGATCTTTTTGAAACAGAGGAAGTATTAGCCAACAAGAAGAAACTCACTTGTGACTTTGCCACATCAGCGGCCTCTGCACGAGCTTTAAGCTCTCTCACTTTCCGAATGTCCTCTTCAACTGTAGCAATCCGATTAATGGCTTCATTAAAGATATAACCAAGAAGAAACGTAATAACCAGTGCAAAACCAGGTGGCATTATCGCTAACCAAGGAATAGGCGGTTTTTGTGTAAACCTGTAAAAAAAGAAAAAAAACAGCCACACATACACACATGAGCTCTGAAAAACAGAATGATCATAGAGAGTGTAGTAGAGGCAGGAGGGCTAAAACCAAACCTGCAGTGCATCTCATGCTTCCTAAAGGGATCACCAAAGTCAAGGCTACTAATGTGCTCTTCACTCATATCACCAACCTCTGAGCCATACATTTTAATGACAGATGAGGCATTGGTTGTGTCATAAACATTGACAGATATCGTCTGTTTACTCGCAAGTTGCTGAAGAAGTTTCTCCACCAGTGACGGCATATCATATGATGCACCAAGGTACCCTATTGTTGCCTGAATCCTCTCTTCCTCTGTAGCATCATGTGGTAGGTTGGTGTTATATACAGCAAAAGTCAATATAACGCCCAGATGATTTGATTTCAGAAGCTGAAAAGGTGATGTTAACACTCCTTTTCCTAAGGCCCTTGCTCGCAAGATGTTTTCTCGGTCTTCCTACAAGAAGAGTTAAAGATTGGTTTAACACTCTTTTATTATTATCATGACAACAACAAGCACTAAGTGGATTGATTACTGACGTTTCCAGACATCATGTCGACTGAGACAAGATGAGAGACGGTTTCTTGAGCGAAAATAACAGGTGCATACTCGTCTTGAACAGGCGCTGGATCGAACTCATGGACAAGTGTCTGGTCTTCAGGGTTCATTTTCTTTATTGTCCATCCATGCTCCTTCTCGAACTTCTCTCTTTCTGAGTGAGTTACTTTTAATGCATAGGCAACACCGCTCGTGAGAGGCCTTTCAAAATTAGTTCTCTCAGTATATTCACTGAACGTTTTCTGTAAGAAGGAAATATAGAAAGCAGATCAATATTTAAGAATCTTCAAGAATAATGATTTTTTTTTTTAATAATTTTAAAAAGACTATTATAAACCTGATCAATGGCAGATGGGGTTTTCCCATGGTGAAAGGTAGAGACAAGAATGGACAAGGCGTGAACATGGTTCATGCTAACATTGAACTGGTCCTGTAACACTCGAGCTCGTTCTTCACACATATTGGTTAATGTCTCTCTCCTTTGGCGCAAGATCTTCTCGTTAGTATGCCAAAACCAAAACACAGATAAAGAAACTCCAGCGATGATACAGAGGAGAAGCATGTTCTTCCTCAACTTCCCATCTCTTTTACATTGGGTCTGCTGCTTGTCTTGTAGGAAAGAAACTTCTTTTCTTCGATGAAATTCAAATATAAAATGGGCCGCCACTAGTACACAAAGGACGAACCACCAATGCCATTTATTCATTAGATAAAACAACACATCCTGATGCCCACTTTCATCCTCTTCCTTTTCTACATTCTATTATTCACAACAAAAGAAAAAAAAAGAATAAAGATGAAGCTCATGATTCTTCCTACATGTTTGATCTTTTTTACCTCTTCAAGATTATCCAAAATGCTTGCCTCAGATGATGACATAAGCTCTGCAACATGTCTCTTAGCCTCCTCGTCTTTCTCTAAACGTGTTGACAAGGAACATGTAATACCATAACTCTCCCACATTCCAGGGTTCGATTCCTTGCGACATTCAAAGGATGTTACCTGTTCAATTCGATGCAAAAGAATGTTCCCCAATTATTCAAAGCTAAGTAATTCTCCAACAATAGAAAGAAATATCAAAGAAGTTGTACCTGATTTGAATCAAAGAAGAGAGAAAGCATAGCATCAATCTCACTTCTGGTAACGTTATGGTTCCTGAACAAGACTCCTTTAGAAGATTCAGCATCTTTATTGCATATACATAAGGACCCAACATAGAAGCTTAAGCAGAGCCAGAGAACAAGTGAGATGCAGACTAGGCCACATAAAACCCGGAAAAGCAGAATCTTCTTGCTTGTCCAATTTCCGACAATGGTTTCTGCTTTTGTCTTCTTTAAATTGGGATTTGAGAGCTCACAAGCTATAGACATGTCTCTACCAAAACCACATCTACCAATTTTTATTTCCTTTTTAATCTGAGATTCAGCTCAAGTAAAATTGAGGACAATTTTTTTTCCAAGAAGAGCCAAGATTTGAGAATTCTTAAGCAGAAACAAACCAACCTTAAGAAAATCTAATCAAAAGAGAGTGAAGATCAAGACTTTGTAGTGAAGAAGACAAGATAAGCCAAACTCAGTCGTTTTCGTGGCCAAGCTTTGAGGAAAACATGGTTAGAGAGAGAGAGAGAAAAGATATATCTTTCTTCTTTATTTTGAGTTTAGTTTAGGAGCAAAAGAAAAAAAAAAGATGGGAAGAAGACCAAGTTGGTGTGCCCCCCCTGAGAAACTAAACTGGAACTCAATCAATAATCAAGCTTTGGACAAAGAAGAGAAAGTTGCCAATGATATTCTATTTTTATTTTTATTTTCCTTTTTTTTTTTACGAACGTCACTTCTCTAGACTTGTAATTCTCTTTTGATAATTTTTTCTTATTTTTTATATGCCTTTGTTTTATGTTTATCGTTTTCTTTTCTTTTGATGCACTCAATGCTGATATTGTGGTTTTTGGGTCCATGATGATCTCATCAATAATCATCTCGGCGGGAAGGTAATTACTGAAACAATATAAAAATACACAATTAGTTTTAATTAACTAAAAAATCATGACATGTTTTAAGTGTGAAACTGAATTAAGAAATGGATTCAAATCCATGTATTACATTCATATTGATATAAATGTATTTCTTAATTAAGTAGATATTTGACCGGCTTGTTTGAAAAAATATACACAGATAAACAATATTGTTTTCCTAAACAAACATCAATTTAATACTGATATATAAGTGGGCTCGGTTTCTTACAAGTTATTTAGTTATTAATTTTTGTTAAATTTTGGGACTCTGCAAAATGTTTTATTTTATTTTATCATTTAAAAATTAGTGAAAATCACTTTAAATTTAAGTTCTAAGTTTATGTTTTTAGTTTATACAATTAAAAATAACTGCAAATTATATTGAAAATAGTAAATAAAATAATTTTCTCTGAAAATACAAATATATACACCATATTCAGTTAAATGAAAAAAATAACTTAAAATAGTACTAAATTTATAACTATTTACTAATAACTAAACAAAAACAAAACAATCAGAAATACTTTTACGATAATAACTTGGAGATTGAAATGTATTAACACAATAACTAAGTCTGTTTCATAGACTTCAATGTTTTCATTTGTAGTATACTCCAAAATTTAATATAGTGTCAGCTAGAGTAATACAAATATTGGTGAGAATCAAATCTCCAGAGAACTCAAGTGTTATAATTAAATTTAAAAATTAAGAAAACTAACTAATCAATTAAAAAATGACTATAAGCTACACGAATGATATAAAATCATATAAACAAATATTTGGACAAAATAATATATTAAAAACACACAAACTATATAATTCACATGACAACATTTTTTAACTAATATATGTTATATTACTAACACGATCAATATAGTTTTGATAGCCATAATAATATATCAGATTTGCAAACTGTCTACTCTCGATGATTTTTTTTTTTGTAACACACTCTCGATGATGTTTTAACATGTCATCACATGTTCTTTATTGTATAACATTACATTTTAAATGTTTGACCTATGTATATATTTTGTTTGATCAAATAGATATGTGTTACGATCGGTTTCTTAAACCACTTTAACTAAACAATGTTGAATTCCAATTGACACACTTTTCCACATATCAAAATTATGTTTATGATGCTATCAGCATAACACATATTAAAATTATGTTTATGACATATTAACATGTCATCACATGTTTTTTTATTGTATATATAACAATACATTTTGAATGTTTGACCTATGTATTTCTTAAACCACTTTAACCAAACAATAATTTCAAATTTAGCACACTTTTTCTGATTATCAAAATGATGTTTATGTGCTATCAACATAGCATATATTAGAATTTGATCCATACATCCATGTGATTCTTTTGTTTGTTTTCATGGTTGTGTTATTTAATTTTTAACCATATATATATAGGTAGGAGAAGTTTTAGCACTAATTAAAGTTGACCCTCTCTCACACTCTGGATTTGGACTTTCACAGCATGTGTCTATACAGATTGCCAACCGCTCGTTCCAGCCATCTTGTCGAAGTCACCACCGGTAGAACTCGACGGAATCGCCCGGGATATTGACTCTCTATCATCCATTTTCGATAATTTTACCTTGTCTTTTATTCCTAAATTGTCAAACTATGAGGCAGATTTACTAGCTAAATCTGTTCTTTGTAACTCTACACCCTTCATGGGATAATTTTCTCCTCGATTTTTAATACAAGTATGTTTTGTGTAAAAAAAAAACCATATATATATATATATATATTACTTATAATTATTGTTTTATTATGTAATTTTATAACACTCTGGTTCTTTAAGAATAATAATTATACAATAGTTTAAGTATTTTATATATAATTTAGTTTGTTAATAGATATGATTCTTGCAATTTGGTGCAGAACTTCTTTTGAAATAATTAAATATAAGAACATTTTTAAAAATATGGAAAAAAGAATTTTAAATTTATATATTAAATACATCATTTTAGTTTTATATAATAATACTACATTTTCATCATTTTATTCATTGTTATTTATAGTTTGTAAATTCAATAAAATTGATGGAGTTAATAACAATTTCGTTTTAAATACTTGCCAGTTTACTGTCTTATAATTTTTTTAAATAAATTAAATGCAAAAATTTCAATTTAAAAGCATTATAAATAAATATTAATTTAGCTCTAATATTTAAAAGAAAATTAAAATTCTATGATATTTTATATGTAATTGTTAAACTAAAAAAATGTGTAATGAGTGAATATTTGTGTTATCAAATCTTGATGTTTATATAACATATAGGTGTTTTCCTGCACCATGTGCGATATTTTAACAGAATATATAAATTATATTTAAAAATAAAATTATTAATATTGTAATTTTTTTCTTTTATCATTATTTTAATATAAATTTGATTTAATTAAACATAAAAATGAAAATACAAATAGTTTTGTTTATTTTAAATTATATTTAAGAATATGCTTGTATATATATATTTAAAATTATGATCTTAGATATATTTTTCTATCTTTTATTTTAAGTAAATATATTAAATAAGTTTTTAAAAAGTTGCATACTGATCAAAAATTAAAATCAAACCTTTTTTAAAAAATAAAAAATTTAGATATATAAGAAGCTAATGATTTTACGATTAAATTTTTATAACTTTCTAAAAAAATGTATACAATTTTGAAAACTTTAGTAATAAAATTTTATAATTTCGAAATATATAATTAAATAATATTTCAAATTTCTAATGTCATATTTGAATATATTTATTTTAATGATAATTTATAAGTTATTACCATATTCTTAAATAATTCCAAAATATAAATCGGCACTGAATGTAATATATGAATCTTTACCCATTTGTAATGCCATATTTGAATATATCTATATATATCGTGATGATTTATGAATTATTATCATATTCTAAAAAAAATCTAAAAGTATAGATCAACACTAAAATGTAATATATGAGTTATTACCTATATTTTAAAAAGTTTGCCAAAAATATAAATTAACATTAAATGTAATTGTCCATGTCATATTAAACTATAAATCATGTCATCATTTATAGCCGTGCCACATTATTTTTTTGAAAATCATTATAAAGAATACATGCGACAAAATCACTTATTAAATAATATATAGAAGATAGAAGAATATTTGAAGGCACATTCAATAAGAACCATGGAGTAAGTTGCTCAAAAAAGAAGAACCATGGAGCAAATGTAACAATGTTTTCTCAGTGAAGTTCTGAAACATGAAGAGAGCTTATGCAACAACGTTAGTTGAAAACACCATCTTCCGAATCAGGGAAAAGGGCCTATTCCTACCCGAACAATTTCAATCGTGCCAAATACAACCCGAACAAATTTTCAGTGCCAAATACGACCTGAACTACATTATAATGAAAAAATACTACTTGAATTTTTTAGAACGTGCCTAAACCTACATTGACCGTAACAGAAGTTAGTCAACCGTTAAAATGATAAACCGACGTCGGGAAAAGGGCCTATTCCTACCCAAACAATTTCAATCGTGCCAAATACAACCTGAACAAACATCCAGTGCTAATTACGACCTGAACTACGTTATAATGCAAAAATACTACCTGAACTTTATAAAACGTGCATAAACCTACATTGATCGTAATATAAGTTAGTCAACCGTTAAAATGATAAAACGACGTCATTTTGATTCTGTTATTAAAAATGAACATTCCGGGACTCAAACCCGAGCTTTATCACTATTTAAAACATACACATCAACCACTAGACTAAAACAATTTTTTAAAAAAAATATTACAAATTTGCAATTATATATGCTACTATACTTTTTAATCTTCTCTAATTAAAACTTTTGTTATTATTATTTTTGATTCTTATAAATATATTAACATATTTTGTAATTATTATATCTTCAATAAACTTATATTATACTAAAATATAAATAATAAAATATTTATAATCATACAAAATTAAATATATTTCATGTTTTTCAACTATTTACAAAATGTCCATATATAAATTGTTTTAAAAATAAAACTTAATGGTAATTTATTTTATTTTGGTAAAGTATATTCAGCTTATATTAATTTTAAGAAACAAAAGAAAGTAACTTTCAAGTTTTAAAATTTTAAAATAATTTATATATGGACATTTTGTAAATAGTTTCAAAACATGAAATATATTTAATTTTGTATAATTATAAATATTTTATTATTTATATTTTAGTATTTATAAGTTTATGAAATATGTTAATATATTAATAAGAATCAAAAATAATAATAAGCAAAGTTTTAATTAGAGAAGATGAAAAAGTAAAAAAAATTGCTTTAGTCTAGTGGTTGATATGTCTGTTTTAAATAGTGGCAAGGCCTGAGTTCGAATCCCGGAATGTTCATATTTTTAAAAAAATAATGAAACCGAAACGACATCGTTTTATCATTTTAACGGTTGACTAACTTCTGTTACGGTCAATGTAGGTTTAGACACGTTTTAAAAAGTTCAGGTAGTATTTTTGAATTATAATGTAGTCCAGGGCGTATTTGGCACTAGATGTTTGTTCGGGTTGTATTTGGCACGATTGAAATTGTTTGGGTAGGAATATGCCCTTTTCGGACGTCGTTTTATCATTTTAACGGTTGACTAACTTCTGTTGCGGTCAATGTAGGTTTAGGCACGTTTTAAAAAGTTCAGGTAGTATTTGTGAATTATAACATAGTTCAGGTCGTATTTGGCACTGGATGTTTGTTCGGGTTGTATTTGGCACGATTGAAATTGTTTGGGTAGGAATAAGCTCTTTTCCCTCCAAATCACCGCGAACCCATTTCTAAACCTGAAATTCATATAAAAGAAAACTACATGGAGTCTAAAGTAGTATGATTAGTTTTTTCCTCTTTGGTGATTAAGAAGTAAGATGGCTGCAAATGAAACTGATGATTCAACCATATATATGATAAAATGTAAACCACTACTTTGGAATCCATGTAGTTTTCTTTTGGAAACACTGAAAAAAATTCCTTTTTGGAATCACCAATTTCATTTGCAACCGACCGCCCACGGGATGGGTAATGGGTCATCCATGTATGTTTTCTAGGTCAGTGATTTATGGGTAATGGGTCGTCCATGTCCGTTTTCTCGCTCAGTGATTTCTATTCCATGCGACATGAAGTGCATTTATTTTTTTTGAGATTTGAAAGTCTTGTTTACTGACTCTTTAATCACCACATGATCTTTTCATGTGATTTGACATCATTCACATTGATATCACAGATCATTTACTGATACGTCATCCATCTTTTTACTACTCCAATTAGATATGTTTAATTTTGGAGTTATAAACGAATGTAAGCGTGTTTTGGTGATAGAAGTAGTCAAATCTGTTCTATTAAACCTTTCATCAGATACCAGAAATTGAGATGTAAAATTGACCCCACGACAGATCTCAGACGCCTCTCAGATCAAAACCATGATGACTAATCAATTCTGATACCACTTGCAATTTTTCGATCGTCCATGGCTAATAGACCAACCACCCCCGTTCTTTTGGCCCGTGGATCCTCGACATGAGGTGCACTAATTTTTCTGAGGGTCGAAATTCTTATTTACTAGCCTTGTAATCATTATATGACATTTTTACTTGTTTTGACCTCATTTACACGATACTTTCTTCTATTACTTTAGTATTAACACGTTTATTTCTAAAATTCTAAATAGATGTGTGCTAAAAAAAAATAAACGCACTTGGATAACATATATATATATATATATCCAAATCAATTCTATTAAACTTTTATATAACAGTAATCATAATGTTACAAGTTTGAACCCGCAATGTTGACCGCCTCACGATTGAGTCCTGAGGCAACATATTTCACCACCACAGAATCTACACCAAGAATTAGAATCCTCAGTAAATTGATGATAATCAAATTCTAAGGATCATACGTTGTGATGATGCACAATCTAATCTTGACCCAATTCCCACTAAAGCACACAAAAAAAATCAGCAGATGATGGATTACATTCTTTTTTGTAACAGAAAAAAAAAAGAATGTAATCCTTAGCTAATGATGATAATCAAAATCTAAGTATCATACCACACTATAATCAAGGATCTAATTTTGACTCATTTCCCCATCAACGATAAATCAAACTTGTTGTGTTAGTTACGTTCATAGATGATGATCCATGCTTATTCATCCAAGAACTCAAGCCTAACTCTGTAAGAAGCTTCCATAGAACAAAACCTTCTATGGAAGTGAAAGGAGCTTTACCATAGAATCTGTCGGTGGTACTGGAAACTTAGAAGATGGAGGATTATCAGAACAAAACTTGCTCCAGTGTGGGTCGTCTTTCTCGACCTCCACGAGGTCAGTCCTCTCTTAGACCGAAGTTGAACTGAAAACCGAACCAAGGAATATCTCTCACTAGAGGCAACAACTGGCGCTGAAACATTGCAATAACAGTCCATGAGAATGTCTACATTGCCGGTGGTTTGGAGCCACTGTCGGGTGTGTGTTCGTGTGTGCTGCCTAAGCTAAACTCTTGGCCTCTCTGTTTTTCAGGTAGTCAAGCAGTGCTACGTTTTGGACTTCTATGTCACTATTGCACTGTCGATTATTACCTACAACAACATGATTCATGGCAGATTTGTATTTAATTTTATGTATTTCTTAGGGACTTTTAATTATTATTATTATTTTTTTTTTTTGTTGCAGTTTCTAAGAATAGAATGGCTTCCAAAGCAGATTCTTCTTCAACTCATGTAGTAACCAAGCCTCCATTCATGGAATTACATTTACAATTTAGCCAAAAAAAATTATAAACATTTCAAGCATCAGAATTAAAAGTTATTAATGCTTAGCAGTAGCACCACAGTTCGGTTTGATTGAAGATTTGAAACCTTAAATTATGAGATTAGACACTGTAACTTTAAAGGTATGAGATTAGCCGGCCTCGTGAGTCTCGAATATACCAAAAAATAGAGAGAGAATCGTATACATATATTGTGAAAATGTGGTTGTATTATTAGATTGAAAAGTCGTCATATAAAACTAAAAAGTAATCAGTTTCATTGGTGGAGAAGAGAAAAAGAGGTTATGTGTAGATGAAAATGACACAACAACAACTTTGTTCAATAGACTAATAGGGAATAAGGATGTGTTAATAATATAACTAAGTTCGGTGGTTGCTAAGTCTTTCTTTTTCTTTACGACTCTCCTTTTGGGCAAATACGTCCACTACAAAAACGTGCTTTTTTTGTTTTCTTTAAACAGCGTTTAAGAACATACGTCCTAAGAACATACGTCCTACTGTATGTTCCATTCCAGAAAATATGACATAATGCCGGCACAAAACATTCTCAAATATAATTATGACTTTAAGCCAATATAGAACAAGTTTTATTCACAACAAAGATATATTAGCTTAATTGGTGAGAGAAAAAGAAGCTGAAGTTCACCTGGTTGGTTCACTTCTTAGTAACACATACTATTTGGACCCGTTGGTCTGCTCATCTTCCAAAATGATATCACTATTATTATATAAATAAATTTCGGATTATTCAAAGTTACATTTAGTCTGGGTATTCATAAGAGTTGAAACACAACACAAGGCTCTCAAGTTTTTGGAAAACCAGAAGACAAATCTGAAACCCTGACCTACTCGCCCACAGCCATGAACGGGATACCCCTGCCACCAACAACAACAATGAACACCATGGTTTCAGATAAAAAGCTTCTTGTCTCATTGTTGTAGTTAACTAAGAGACTGACTGAATAAGCCAAAAAAAAAAAAAAAGATTCCTACTTACCAGCCACCATGTCTTGAAAAGTAATCATTATCTAGCGAAATAGCAAGAGCAACGACAACAGCTCTTTCCGACAAGGTCAATGGCCGTTTCACATTTAACTCTTCTACCTGCCATGTGCAAAAGCTCAATCAAAATGTTTATGTTCTCAAACCAAAAATCAAAATACATTTGTGTCAAAAAAATACCATTTTAGCAGGGCCACTTTTGAATGCATCATCAGATTTTCCAAATCGGATCACATACTGCCCAGCATCTGTTAATATCTGTATCATCACATATATACATGTAAGGACTTTTCATCTTCTATTGTATCATTCTTCTAATTTCTACATGAAAACATTAAAAGAGCACAAACCTCAAAGCCAAAACCCCTCCAGTCACGATCTACTTGGGCTAACACTTCCCCATCAGCGTCCTTCACTGTAAATGTCCAATTCCAAAACCCAGGATTCTCCACCACTGCAAACTGCTCGTTCCTGCAATTATAGTATAAAGTTTGGTTGGTGCAACGAAGTTGATAAGTTTTTAATAAAAGGATAGCAACACATGTTGATTCTTTGAAATTTACCCGAGGTATAAATCATAAATCCTTCTCCATAGATGCCATCGTCGGTGAACCACACCAATTTCCTATATCAGTAGCAGACACGAAAGTGAGACAGAAGATGAACACGTTACATCGTATCACTGTTTTTAAGTATTTTAAGTGATATCACAAGCGTACCTCTCCATCAATCTCAGCATATATTGAACTTGTGATCCACCAAAAAGGTCTACGAACCTAAAATGATGAAGATTAACTACTTCAGCTCAAACAAATATCTTGCAGCGAAATTTCCACACAGTAGAATCCAAGAAACCTTACCCGGAATAGCTCGTTACCCAATGCATCAGTTATGGAAGCAACAAATGGCCGCCGGGTACGAAGCAGCTGCAGATGTTAAAAAGATCATTCTCATTTGGACGACACATAAATACTACGCTTAACAAGATATGTAGTAGATGGTACACAGCTTCTCTTAGCTAACAAAGGAATAGACGCAATGCAAGCTTTCAGTGAATGATGAATGAAACTAACATATCAAAACTTAAACACTGCTCACTGGTGACAGACGAATTATAGTATTACCACAATAATATTAGTTGAGGTAAGGAGAGACGAGAGAAAAAATAACTACAAGTTCAGAGTGAGAATGTAACCTGCCGCATAATTACATGACTTTGCTCCCGAATAGACCCCACAGGCTGTCAAGGAAGAGAGAACAGAGGTTTGAAATACATAAAACTTGATGTGAATTCAAGGTCTTAGGTATCAGTAGCACGCTCAAAACGTTTGTGTGTAAAAAAACTGAATTATATGCGTTGAGACATCACTTACCGCCTCAGGATAGCAAACATCAACTACAGCATAGCGATTTTCCTGCAGAGAGAAGAGTAGATTAAACGAGTGGTATAAAATCTACACAGCTAAACGTGTGGGTGGGGGAGAGAAAAAAATGACAGGGACGGAAATGAAGGGAGAATTCATATGTAAGAGTGACAAACATGATAAAGTTAATTCATCAGAAACAAGCAACGGTATCACTTAGTGCAATGAGGAACCAAAGAACTGGAAGAAAAATATATATACCTGTTCGAAACCAAGAACCAGATTTGCCCATTCAATGTCCCTTGTAATCAGCAAATTAGACCGAGCAAGCAGCGTTGCAATTTTGGCCTAACAAAAAAAATTTCAAGAAAATAATGAAGAAGTAGAGTACAATGAGCTAACTTTAGTATATCATGTAAGCTAACTAATTAAACACAGATAAAATTTCCTATAGAAATTGGGCAGAAACACCATACATCTATACAAGTGACAAAACAACATTATTTGTGTTCAGTCTTAGACCATACTAATCTCACAGAGAAACATTGAACAATAAACGCAAGTTACAAATCCAATTTAGACACGTATAAAGATTATCTCAAGCAAAAAGAAAAGAAAAGCAGTTTGAATGGTATAGTAGGGAAAGGAAAGATGAAGAGTCAGACACCTCATCAGAAGTTTTAGGCTTGAGAGGACCAGACATAGACTGGCTAACAGGTGGTTGCTGCAGGGTAGGCTCGTAATGGGTTTCATCAGACTGTGCTAAAGAAGATTGCTCATAATAATCTCCTTCTCTCTGCTTAGTAGAAGCTTTCCCATATCGCTTCTCCCTCTCTTTTAGCCTTTTCATATCTGAAACCCATAACTGAGCCAAAAAGTTCCGGTCCAAGTGAGGTCGAGTATTATCACCACTGGCATCACTAAAGCATCTGAAATTTGGAGACAAGACTCGTTCTTGATCACGAAAGCTTCCACGTAGCAGATCATTTCCTGCTCGAGAATGCAACGTTCTGTTCCCACTAGTTACTACTACTCGGTCCTGTAAGAAAATCTGCAAGAATCAAAATCCCTAATATTCCTCCTAAAGATGTAAAGGTTAAAACTTTGTGAATCCATTAATCAGTTCTGATACGAAAGTTGGAAACTTTCATCTCTAATCAGTTTTGTATTTCATGGCATTACCCAGAGAAGCGATTTGACATTTCAAAATTTGGGGGTAGGAGTGAATACCGACCGGGTCAGAGAAGGAAGAGGAACAAGAGGAGAGAGCAGCCCTAGCATCTCCACGGAGATGGGAAGTGGATCGCAGGAGAAGAGAAGAGCCAGAGCGCTTAGAGAGGCAGAGCATGACTTCGTAATACACAGGTCACCTTGTTTCCCTGTGGGAGCCCAGGTTTGCTTTTTCACGATTGATGTCTTTCTTTTTTTGTTTATTAGGGGTTTATCGGTAGAACATTAGCATAAGTATTATATTCTCTATTATCCAATCAACATTTGGCAAATAAGCATTTTTTTTTTGGTACCCATTTGGCAAATAAACATTTGGCAAATAAGCCTTAGCCTAGTGGCTAAGTGGTACCCAAGGCACCAGGGTTCGACACCCGCTTTCAAGGATTCCTGTACGAGATTTCCCCACGTGACAAAAAAAAAACATTTCTTTTTTGCTAACACTGATTAATAAACGATGTTCGACGATACACAAGAATGAAAAAAGAGATAACAGGAAAATGAATTGTCAGTACACACCATCATAACATCAAATAAGAAAGAAGCATGAATTACCAACTCCCTTACTTATTTAGCCTCCAAAACGAGAAAGTGATGTAGCCACGATGGAGCATTCCGAGCAATATAAGACTGATGACGCCTATCTCGAGTGACACTGAGAGCAATGGCTGTTGCCGCTTCATTACGTCCGTAAGAGTATGATCCAAACTCCATGAATCTATCTTTGTCAGAAGCCAGAGGATGCTGTGACGAATGTGGCTGAGGCTAAGGTGTGCAAGTGGATTTGTCATAACGTCATGTAAGCACTCCGATGAGGTCTCCAAAATAATTTTTGAGAAGTGTAGGTTGTGCAGACATTCCACTGCCCAGTAGAGATCCCACAAGTCGGCCTTGATCTTTGTGCGCATGTATGAATAAGCTCGACGACTATGCATGAGTGTGTTTCCTTTGTCATCGCGAAGAATCCATGATGCACCACTCGGCTGATTTGAGTCAATCCATGAAGATCCCACATTACATTTTAGAGATCCATTAGGGGGTTTCCTCCATCGAACCTTATCAATGACTATATCATCCACCTGATCCATCGATTCTGTGAATGTATCGTACCATGCGAGTTCTTCTTCATATGCCTTTCCAGCAATAAAGGAAGACTCCAGAACCTTATTCTTAAAAACAAATGAGTTCCTAGCTTTCCATATTTCCCATAACAACCATGGAAATATTTGTTTTGTATGAATATCCAAGAAAGCGCTCCTAGCATTCTTGATTAAATGGACAAAATTTAAGAATGTTGAATTTGTAGAAAAGCCTCCTAAAGGTACTTGGACATTAGCTTGATCCCACATGGCACGTGCTTTCACACATGTGAATAAGACATGACAAATAGTCTCATCCTCATTTCCACAAACTGGACAGGTTGGATCTATCGGAATACCCCGAGTACTCAAACGTTGCTTAACAGCTAAAGCACTTGATAACGCCCGCCACATAAAATGTTTAATTTTTGGTGGAGATTTTATTTTCCATAAGTCTCGCCTTAATTTCTTTTAGATAGGGGTGAGCGATTGCCCTTGAGGGTGATCATAATCAACCAAAGCCTCTAACAATTTATACCCACTACGCGTCGTATATGAACCATTTGGTGTGAATCCCCATCTGATAGAGTCCTCACATACCAATGATGGTTTCAAAAGTAGTATCCTTTGCGTATCCTGAGGCGTAAAAGTCTGCTGTAGTAAATTGATGTCCCATTGGTTAGACCCTGGTCTTAGCAAATCCGAAACATTAAGCGCCAAATTTATAGAACTATTTTCGCGATACATTGGTGGCCGTGGAATAGTGTCAATAATCCAATTCTCATCCCAAACATTAGTGTCAGTTCCATTACCAATATGTCGATATAGACCCTTTTTAAGTAATTCTCTTCCGTGCATGATGCTCCTCCATGCATAAGACGGACGTGTCCCCATTCCGCAGTTTAGGAAATCACCTTTTTTAAAATATTTACCTTTAAGGATTCGGGAGACCAACGAATCTGGATTATTCCATATTCGCCAAGCTTGTTTCCTAAGCAACGCCTGATTAAAGCGGCCAATATCCTGAAACCCAAGACCCCCTGTTCTTTTGGTTTACATAGCTTTTCCCAAGAAACCCAAGGTATTTTTCTTTTTTTTTATCCCCACTACTCCACCAAAACTCTATTGTCACACTCGTAATTCGTTCACACAAACCTTTTGGTAACTTAAAAACAGACATTGCGTATATGGGTAAAGCTAAAGCCACCGATTTTATTAGAACTTCCTTGGCATCCATTGACAAAGTTTTAGAGTACCATCCCTGTAGCCGGCCTTCTAATTTCTCCTTGATAAAATTTAAAAGCGCTTTTTTGAACCTTGAAAGCATTCAGGGAGACCAAGATATGAACCTTCACCACCTTCGTTTTCGATACCCAAAACCTCTTTGATCATCTGTTTCTGAACATTGTCTATTTTTTTCCCAAAAATGATGGAAGATTTCAAAGGATTAATCATTTGCCCCGACGCATCCCCATAACATTTTAGACCCTTCAAAATTTCTTCACTGTCACTTACAGAGGCTTCACATAGCAATAAGCTATCATCCGCAAACAACAAATGGTGGTCAGAAGGGCTACCAGTAGCTAGTTTTATACCATGTAATTTACCTTGTGCTTCCGATCTATTAAGAACATGAACCAAAGCTTCGGCACATAAAATGAATAAAAAAGGAGATAAAGGATCCCCCTGAGGAATACCTCTTTCTGATTTAATAAACCCGTGTGAACGTCCATTGAGTAACACCGAGAAAGTTACAGTAGTGATGCATGACATTAACCAAACAACCCATTTCCTATGGAATCCCATTTTTTCTAATAAAACTTCTAGGAAATTCCATTCAACCCCATCGTAAGCCTTTGACGTGTCAGTTTTAATGGCCATACATTCTTTACCATTTTTTTCATTTGTACGAAGCGCATGTACCAACTCATGTGCTATAATGACATTGTCCGTTATTAACCTACCTCCCACAAAAGTCCCTTGGGTTTCTGAAATTATAAGTGGCAAAACCGTCTTCATACGTTCACATAGAATCCGAGAAATGATTTTATATTGAACACTGCACAAACTTATTGGACGCATATCCTTCATTTCTGTAGGATTCAAAATTTTAGGCAATAAAGATAATTGCGTATGATTCCACCCAGCTGGAATGATGGCTGTTTTAAAAAAACTTTGAACATCCTGAATAATTTTCTGTCCTATAATGTGCCAGTATTTCTGATAGAAAAAACCCGTAAGACCATCTTCTCCAGGTGCACTGCTACTTTTGATACCAAAGGCTGCATCCTTGATTTCCTCAGCGGTTACCTCCCTGATTAATAATGAGTTCATCTGTGGGGTAACCCTACTTTCAAATCCATCGAACAATGTTTCCAGATCAATTGGGTTGGAGCTTGTAAACAACTCCCGAAAATATTCGGTAGCAATATGTCCTTTCGATCCTTCGGAATAATGCTCATTACCAAAAATATCTTTGAGCATCAAAATTTTATTTCTTATTCTTTTTCCTTTCACAATATTATGAAAATATGTGGTATTTCTATCTCCTTCTCTTAACCATTCCTCCCTACTTTTTTGTCTCCAAAAAATCTTCTCTTCCCTATAAGCCGCAGCCAGTTCTTGTCGTAACCTTCGCGTCAAACCATAGATAGGAAATTGTTTGGAACTTTCTTTATCTAAATCACACTGCAAACGATCAATCCTAGTTTTTGAATTCCAGTCATTAGCCTTTTAAGCTTAGACAATTCAGACCTACATCGAGCAATACGATCAAGAACCGATAAATTTGAGTCTACGTTCTCAGCATCCCATCCTCGAATAATAGCCTCATTAACCCCTCTTTTTCCAAACAAACGTTTATCAAAATAAAAACGTCCCCTCTGTAATATTTCCGGCTCAAATGCAAACTCTATACGTAGAGGTCGATGATCAGAGGGCCACATAGTCATATATTCAGTAGAAGATTGAGGAAAAAGACGAAACCATTCTGCGTTACCAAAGGTCCTATCAAGACGGAATTGTACCCAGTGATGGTCCCGCATACCAGCCCACGATAGGGAATTTCCGGTTGATCTCATTTCTCTAATTTTACATGCTTCAGCCATATTCCGGAAATCAAAAAAGTGGATTCATCTCTAATGACCCCACCTAATTTTTCGTCATTATTCATTAGTTCGTTAAAATCACCCACCAAGACCCAAGCATCATTCCTACTCACGCCAATATCCATTAGTTTATCCCAAACTAATCGTCTGCTTCCTCTGACTGGATCACCATATACACATGACATAAAAAATACCAAAGAACCCATTGTGATTTTAAGATCAATAATTCTATTATCACTATACATAATTTCCACTATGTAACACCCCTTCCACATTATAGATAAGCCCCCACTCCGGCCAACGGGTTCGACCGTGTGTAAATGATCATAGCCCAGACTCGATTTTAGAGCATCCATATAAGCAAATTTCTGTTTCGTCTCCATGAGAAATAAAAAATCTGGGAAATACTGACAACGAAAATCCCTAATCCGCTGAACCTTATCTGAACTCCCGGCACCTCTACAATTCCAACTTAGTATACTCATAAAACATAATTTGTAAAGATGTTACCATGCGATGACAGTAAAATGCTAACGATGTCATTACTACACCATTATACATCTTAATGTATACCCGTTGGAACTTGAATAAGAGACCCCATCGATTCCATACAATAATCCATAGATGGCAATTTATTTCCAATAACAGGTGACATTTTTCTTCTCCATTATCTAACCATCGGGCTAGAAGTTGAAACTTTAAAAATGTACTAATGGGATTATTGGAAATAGTACAGCCATGGAAAATTAACCAAAAAGTTTTGTTATATCGTGGAGCAACGAAGATTTGATACTTATACCATTTCACCGTCCATCCCACCAACATCTGAAGAGATATAGAACCCAAATGCCATTCATAGAGATCATCAATTAAGACCATAAACCAAGCCATAATTAAAACAAAGGAACCATTATCAGATGATGCACATATAATAACTTTTAAGGATCCCCAACTCAGTTGCCACTTTATGAATACTTGGACAAAACCTTGTGTAGA